AAAAAAATGAAATATATCACAAGAAGAATAATACAAATAACAGTGAATTAGATAAAACAACTAGGCGCATTAGCTACTAGGTAAATCGAAGCTACTCTAACGATGTCCAGTGGCTTCACATATCGTCTTGATAAGCTCCATCTTTTCGCGTTGTCGTTGCTTTCTACGGCTGGTTCTCTCAACTTGAGCTTGAGCTTCTTTCTCTTCAGGAGTGATGAGGTGACGTCTAAAAAGAGATGTAAAATAAATTGGATGTGAATGGATTTAACAAATTCAAAAGCCCAGGAACATTTCAATAAAATATTTCCGAAATTGAATAAAAACCTCAAGATTTGCATAAAAAAGGGACTCACTTGCTAATATTATTCAATAGAGCAGTTTCCCAGTCACCGCCACTTCTATGAACATGACGGAAAATACGCATGATGTTTGGGAACGGCAGATACATAGGGCCTTGCTGCCATCTGCGAACACAAAGGGTAGAATCAAGATGATACAAAAGCAGACAACAACGTAAAAACGCTTACTTCACGTATTTCTTAATAGGAAGCCTAACAGCTCGCATTCGACCACGTCTCGCTGCTCCGAGAGCTTCTCTTGCTGTATCCATAGTCACACACAAAGCAATGGCGCCTACATTCAAAGGTCCGTCAATGACATCTCTCGCATGCCTTAAATAAGAAACTAAGGCGATTAATAAAATACTGACAATAAGGACTGGAAATGCCAACCTTGAAATATAAACGACTTCTTTGTCCGGAAAAGTCTCCTTAACTCCCTTGTGCGTGAAATCAGGCAGAACGGTTTGGTGTGTATACAAGCCTCCATAAAAACCAACAGATCTAAAACGGGCGTATGCAATGCTATGTAAATATTCTGCCTTTCCGCTTACTTTTCTAGCCATTTTTGTGAGTCATCAGTGGTAGGGAAGTTGACAAAACTTAGATGTAATGGTGTTCGAGAGTCGAGATTTTCCTGAAAGGAAAAACACTACGCAGCAGTATTTGGCAAAACTCAATTGCTTTTAAAGGCAGTGTCCCCTCAAAATTCGCATTCCGGTTTTTCAGCTTT